CAGGCGATGGCCTAGCCTCGGTCGCCGTCGCCGTCGCAGTCGCAGTTAGCCTGCCAACCCAGCCCAGCCCTGCTATCCAAAGACCCACAACAATGGCCGCTTGGCCAATGGAGCGCGCAACGTGCCTTTTATACGGCGGATTTACGAGCCAAGCCGACGACGTCGTGGCGAAGAAATATTCGATGGCCAAGCAACGATTAAAACGGACTCTTCACGCATGCGCGCACACATACAACAGCACAGCCAAAGCTGCTGCATAATGGCCATCGTGGATTACTATGCTGGACCCATGCTTAAGGACAGTTTACTCAAATAGTTGGTTATTTTATTGACAAAAGTAATATGATATTCAATACTTGATTAACCGATTACCGAAAAACTCACTCCCCTGGGTGCAAGAGGGGGATAAAAGTTGGAGGAATATTAAGTTTTCCCAGTGTTGAATAAATTAAAGACGCATAACAGCCTTAAGAAGAAAGCTTAAGCCGAGAAAACTCGACCAATATTTGTTATTTAGAATGTTCGCCTATACAAACAGCAAATCCAAATGAACTTCTCATTTTTGCATATTATGGTTATTTGCATATATGTTCTCTTTAACCAGATGCAGAACGAATTTTCTTTCGGCTAAGCCGCAAATAAGAAAAACGAATTTTTAAATGTTGTTGTCTTCCTTGATTCTCAAGACTCAAGAAGGCACTCATAAAATGACATTTTTTTTTGTAAATATGTGTTGTATTATTGTATGCATGCACACATGCAACTTATCTCTACTACTACGAATTTTCTTTCGGCTAAGCCGCAAATAAGAAAAACGAATTTTTAAATGTTGTTGTCTTCCTTGATTCTCAGGACTCAAGCAGGCACTCGTAAAATGACATTTTTTTTGTAAATATGTGTTGTATTCTTGTATGCATGCACACATGCAACTTATCTCTACTTATATATAAAACTGTCTGTCCGGACTGACTGACTGATTGGTGATCAACGCACAGCCCTAACCGTAATAGTTAAGGTACACGTTAAGACGAGGTTTCGGGTAATTCCACCCGCATATGTGGAAAAATCGCGAAATACCTTTGTATGAAACGTTTTTGTTTACTATCCGATGGCCTCAAAATCATTTTCAAAGATCTTTGTTAAAATTCATTTGAGGGGTGTTTCTGTTATTTTATGTTTATACCCTGAACCCATTAAAAATGGGTATAAGGGTATATTGTATTTGTGCAAAATCCAAATGTATGTAACAGGCAGAAGGAAGCATCTCCGACCCCATAAAGTATATATATTCTTGATCAGCACCAATAGCCGAGTCGATCTAGCCATGTCCGTCTGCCTGATCGTCCGTCCGTCCGTCCGTATGTATGAACGCAAGGATCTCAGAACCTATATGAGCTAGAGACTTGAAATTTTAGATGTAGATGATTCGAGTTGGTTTCGAGTTTGTTTCCGATAATCTATAACTTACTCCGTTCCAAGCAATCGATAAAAATCGATATCGATATTCTGGTGTTTGGGCAATATTGGTAAATAATAAGAGCTAGAGTCACCAAACTTGACATATATGTAGCTTTTAAAATAGAATATATATTTGATGTTGGAAGAAGAGGGTTCAGGGTATCCCCTAGTCGGGAGCTCCCGACTAGAACCTCTTACTTGTTTTATTTTAGTAAAGTGTTCAAATAAAATATACGAATCTAATTCGAGAGCTCAAGTAATTAGAATTAGATTTAGATTCACCTATAAATCTGGCCAGCATAGTAAAATGGGCTCACTAGCGGGCTGGCTGTCTGGCTGTCTGGCTGGTTGGTTGGGTGTTTGCCCTGGCAGCATTTGCAACACCAGACCGGCATCGACATGAGCATCGGCATTGACTTGAGCTTGAGGCATGCATGGGGTATTGGATTGGGGAGCAGTCGCATCATGTGCGCAATGCACGCACGTGATTAAAGCGCAGCCCCGTTGAGTAAGGGAAGCGGAGGGGCGGGGGAGGGTTGGCTGCTCAAGAGCGGTCGCGAGGCACGCTTATAAATCAGAATTCAGTTTTGGTCCCAATGACGTCGACAATCAGCTCAAAGGCACCCAGGGGCGGGACGGGTACGCACCACATATTGATAAATAAATAAGTTCGCCAAAGGCTTTTGTCTTTACGAGTAGCTGGCCAATATCTTCTGTTGTTATTGTTGTTGTTGCATTTTATTTTTCGATAAGTTCAATGCACTTGTGCAACTGGTTTAAATTAAAATTTGAAAACACATTTTGAATGATTTATGTGCAGCATCTTCTGCAGCACGTTGCGTTTGTATTGCCGAAATTAATATCAGAATGCTTTACGATCCGAATCTAAGTAACTGGCCAACATTCACAATTCAAACGGCGTCCACGTCTGACTTTTGACCCTAGCGCCGGCGCCGGCGAGTCTTGTAGCCAATAAATTAAGGCTTTCAAAGCTATGCCGCGAGCCAGCCACAGCTGCATCATCTGGTTAGCTATTGAAGATCAATAAAAATGCAACAACTAAAAAAAGTTCTTGAAAATGTTCCGAAGGAAATACGGACCTAATAATTGTCATATTAATTGCCATTTAAAAATATTGAATTTCATTTATAATAATATTTGCGCCATGTCATAGTCAAGTTTTATCTAAGCCCAGCTTAAGATCTTTTAAAAACAGCATCCTCTGGCTCTCTAATTAAAAGCTCGCCTGGCTGTTGGTCTGGTAAATTCAAAGTACTTGAACTCTTTAGCATTTGCATAATCCTCGGCATTAACGCAATCTTTGCCACACTAAACATATTCTTGCCAGCATCCAGTCACATATCTCTGTAAGTATTACTTAAGACTGCGCTTTAACCGCTTGGCTGACTCGATCAAATTTCAATATGGCCCATTGACAAACTTGAGACACATTGCATTAATAACTGATGAGTGCACATGGACACGGTAGGGATTGGGATTTTGGCTCGTGCGCAGGCAAGAACTTAATTATCTTCATCTTACATTTCAATGCACGTTGGCTGAACTTAAGTTACTCTTTACTTTATCCCAATGATTATTAATTAATCCGACTAATTATCTCTATCATGACTGATTAATGAACAACCAGAGGGTTAAGAAATTCCAAAAATCACGGAAAACAGTTCTATCAGGCTTTAAGTTAATTTTCACCACATTTCTCAGAAGCAGGAAATGGCGGGAAGAGTAATTTTTAAATTAAGAAGAAAATAAACTGTCCGGGCAATGCTTGGTAATGCATGCTAGTATATTAAAATTCCTATAAAATCATGGAATTATCAGCATTTATCACAGATAATTATTCAAACCCTATTTATACAATATGAATATGAAAGATCTCGAGATATTTGCGGCTCTCATTTCTCTCAGTGACATCCACAAAGCCACTGGGCACTATGACAACTTGAAAATCTCTCAAGAAGTTATATCAAAATCAGAACTAAAATAAAAATAAGAATGAGAATACGAGTCAGAATCCTCTGATAATCCGTCATATACAGTACACTCTAAAAAGACTGATGCGGACTGCTTGTGGACTACACCTTCGTTTATGTGACGGGACAAAAGTGTTGGGGCATACCGAAAGGTTATTTACCTGCCTTTACGTCAATAATGGAGAACTGGGCGGACTGTCAGACGGCCGGACGCAGCTCAGTTTCAGACAGATCTCTACTAACGATACCGTTTGCGGGGCAGCCCCCAAGTCCCCCGCAAGCTGCCGCCAACAGAGCGAACCGACTCGACACGATCTACATAACATTTGCTGCGGCTAATGGCTCGATGTGCGCTGTGCCAAATATGGATGGAAATGGATACGGATTTGGATGACCAATGACCAACGGACAGTTTGCCCAGTTTGCCGTGCTTACACTTAGAAAGAAATTCTATTAGAAAAAAGCAAGTTCAAATTTATAAAAAAGAGGTATTATAAAATTAAAAGTTTCTTAAATAAAATCTTGGATACAAATTTAAAGTTTACTTTCAAATTTCCATTTTTATAACTACAAATAAACATTGAGTGATTAGATTAAGAGATGTACGCTCAACATAAAAAAATTCACTTACATATTGTAGTATAATTTAAAGAAAAATTGTATATTTCTATAAAAAAATGTAAGGTGGGTTTCATATTTTAAAGTTACTTAAATCATTTGACTCATTTTAAAAATAATATTATACATAAATTTCTTAAATTATTCTTTATGCGTTTCGTCTTATTCTTCTGTGTGTTTCGTTAGCTGCTTTCAAACTTCCGCTTTTCTTATAAGCAATTTTTAAACTAGCCATTTTTATTAAAATTTCCAAACACTCTGGAGTGGATGATAATGGATTTGCAAGTGTAAGCTCGAGCGTACCATAACGGTGTTTCGAAACAATAAAACCTGAAGACAAGAATCTGCGGCCACTGCTGAGCGCACTATATCGATATATCATTAGCAGGCTTTTGATTTACAATCCGCCTTTGTCTGTTTGCCTTTTGTTGGGCGCCCATTTTGGCGCAGTAAATGTGGCTGACTGCGGCTAATAGCACTTTCGAGCCAAACCTATTCACATATGCAGAACGAATGAAAGTGTTCTCTATAACAAGCTCCAATTCGCTGCCAGACAGACAAAGCGGAGCAGACCAGGCCAGACCAGAGCTGAACAGAGCAGTACACTGCCGAGTCGAACAGGCCAAAGTATTTGTATGAGTTGCAAGCGGCTTCAAACTTGGCTCAAACGTCTCAAGTCTTCTCAACCGGGCCCACAGACCAAAGCCGAACTTGCAGAGCGGGCCAAGTTAGCAGTCGATGTTGGTTGGGCCTGGCGAGCGGACGTGTGAGCGCGTTAAAGACCAAGTCGAATATAACGAAAGACGAATAACGTACGAGAACGACAAACCAATCGCGAGTGTGAGACTGTGACAGTGTGCATGTGTATGTGTGTGTGCGCGAGCATGTGCAGCATTTGAGTTGGCACGTAACGGGCAACGCGTCACCGATCCAATGGCCAATTGTGCGCCGGCCAGTTGCAGGATCGAGGCCAGCAGGCTGTTGCTGCTGCTTCTGCTCATCCTGCAGTTCATCGCGGCGACGCCAGCTGCCCGCAATCCAAATACAAACAACAACAACAACAACAACAACAACATTTGGCGACGCGTTCGTCTGGTGACCAGCGTCAGCGCCAGTTCCACACAAGACCGGGAACGCAATGCATATCAGCTGCTCAAGGCCAACAGCACAACAACCAGCACCACCACCACCACCACCACCAGCACCACTACGACGCCTGCGCCACGGCGTGCTGCCAAACAGCTGCTGCGTCGCGAGGATCTCAATGTGCCGGAGGGCAACATTTCGAGCGCTGCGCGCCTGGAAATGTCCACGGAGTTCTTTGTGGTGCCCACGCTCAGGCCAAGCACCAGTAGCAGCAGTAGCATCCGCAATGGCAGCAGTAGCAGCAGCACCACCACTGCAGCCACGCCCACGCGCAGTCAGGGCGCCCGTGCACGGGCTGCCAACACGCCGCGTGCCACACAGGGCGGCAGTGCCACACCGCCCAGCATTGTGTCCACCACCCAGCTGCCATTTGCGGGCCTCCGCAAGGAGGTTTGGGTGGTGCCGGTCCTGGTGCTGGCCAGCCTCACCATGCTCATGATGGGCGCCTTTGAGATCTTTGTGCTGTTCAAAGCCTGGCGCACCTCACCATCGCGCCGCCATCTGTTTCTGGGTCAAATGCTGCTGCTGGGCTTGTTTGCCTGCGCCGGATTGGGCGCCGTTATCACGGCACAGCCCACGCTTCTCAGCTGTGGCGCCATACGCTTTGGCGTGGGCGTGGCCTACGCATTGGTATTTGCTGCATTGCTCGTCAAGTGCGTATTCCTGATCAGCCTCAATGGCGGCGTCTATTTGCCAGCACCGTACCAGGGCCTGTTGCTGCTCTTCGCGCTGCTCATCCAGGTGGCCATCGGTGCGCAGTGGCTGCTGACACAGCCACCAGAGATTTACACGACCAGTGTGCCGGTGATGGGCAGCGGTTTTCTATCCACCACAGTTGCCTCACAGACAAACTACTCGGCGCTTTTCTACCCGACGTCCTACACAACGCTGGACGGCACGCCAGAGATTTACACGAGAATTGCGGCAGTGAGCACCGTTCTGATACCGTTATGCAAGACGCAATTCTCGGAGCTGCTCTTCTCGCTGATCTACATTGTGTTCCTCATTGTGTTCATTGCGGTGCTGGCGATTAAATCGCGCGGCATACGGGACAACTATCGGGAGGCGACATACATTGGGTTGGCCATCGGTGGCGCCATACCCATCTGGCTGGGCTGGATGCTGTGCGGCTTGGCGGTCGCTGAGCGGCATAAGGATGCTTGTATTGCATTTGGATTGGTGGCGACATCGGCCACCGTTTTCCTGGTCATGTTTATGCCCAAGGGCAGGCAGTTGGCGGCCATGGGTAAGGAGGGACTCTACGTTGAGGATCGTGAGGAGCAGTTCAGTTCGCTGAGTCGTGCCGGTTCCGGCTATTCGCCATCCTTCTTTCACTTCAAGCCCATCAAATATGGCGTCATGAGCGGCTGTGGCTTGCCCAATTCCGCAACGAATACGGGCCAGGGACTCAGCTCCAAGCACTGCTCCAGTGCCAACAATGGCGGAGGTAAGTTTTTGTATACATCTAAGCTCAATCCACTTCAATATTGTCACAATTGTCTGCAACGCATCACATTTGGGGCCCAACCCAAGCTGCAGGGTGTCCCTTGACTCTGGCACTGGCTCTGGCTCTGGCTCTGGCTTTGGCCCTTGTCAGCTGTCAGTTTCTGTACATTTTGTAATAACTTTCTTTTCTTGCCACACATGTCGAGCAAAGGGGGTGGGGCGTGCGCCTAGGGGCGAACTCTTGAACTGCTGATTATCAGTACGCTCGCCTCTTTCTAAAAACAAAAACCGAAGAAAAGCAAGAGTCTTAACTTTCATAGCTAAACTCTAAACGGTAGCCAACACATTGCACAGTGGCTCAAAATTTAATTTACGAAAACAATAAGAGATTTTCTTTTGCCATATTTGTTACTCTAAGCACAAGCAGATACATAGCGGAAACATGAACTAAATTAAATTTTTATTTTAAGTTTATTTATCGATTTTCGAAACAAATTTATAAAACATTCGCCTCAGTATTCGCAAACTTCGTTGCTTTACTTATTTATTACTGTTTATTACTTTATCAAAATATAAAAATTCTAAAACATTTTACCAGGCCTTGTAATTGCTTAAAAAATATATTTCCAGAACTTTAATTTTCAAAAATAATATCTTAAAACATTTTCCCCAATTTTTTTTCGCTTGACGGTTTTACTTTTCTGCATCCACTGTGCAGCGACATTAACTGGGCTTAAAATTGTTTTTACCATGCCTTGTAATTGTTTGGCATATTAATTTTCTCAAAAGCCGTCGTGTAAGTCGAGTGTAAAAAGAGCATACATGAAGCTATCCATTTGTCTATCTGACAGTCCGCCAGTCCGACAGCCAGTCTGTTCGTCAGACAATCTATCTGCCTGACTCTCTGTGTGTTCATTTGTCCATTTGCCTCTTTGCTCGCCTGCCAGCTTTCATTTTCGTTTGGTGAGAACGTCGCGCAGGTTCGTTGCCTAAGTCTTTTGATTTAGTTGCGGCTACTGCTGCTGCTTTCTTAATCATTTTTGATAACTGCTCCGTCGTTATTGTCGTTGTGCTTATGAAGACATCAGCAAGACTATATTTATTAGTCAGATTTCACATCTGGCCATTAAAAGGTGTTAAATGTCATTGTCAAATTATAGAAAACGGTCACAACCCCCACAAATGGCGAATGTCACACAGCGAAATGGGACCAGCATTTGACATGCTATTTAGCGATTTATAAATCAAGTTAAACAAAACCAAAAATACAAATTTGCTAACATTTTTGTTATAGCTTTTCTAAACAAAAATCACAACTGAACAGGGCGAACAACAAAGCCTTTTATGTGGGCTTTCTAATGAAAGCAAAAACAGTTGGAAGAAGTGTAGAGAGGGGCGGGCAATAGATGTGCGTGTCCGAAGCATGTAACACACATTTTACACTTTACGTAATTTAATTAATGAAAATACATAAAATTTGTGATTACATCAAATCAAACAATAAAATTATTTAAAGCCAAACGAAAGCTGAAACATTTAACAAAGACGAAGCTTAGATGCTCTTATATGCGGCACACTTTATTGACCACTTGAGCAAGCTGGAAATATAAAATGTATTTATTGACCAATTTAATATTTAATAAATAAAAATTTTAAAACTTTGATTCAAACCGAAATTAGCATGTCACAATATCAAATAACTGTAAAGTTATTAAATTTCTTCACTAAACTTGCTTAGTCCTTGGTCTTACAATCCACTTGCATAACGATTCTCTAGGTTAGGGTATATATGTTGCAATAATTTACCGAATTATAACAATGCGCCGCTGGGCTTAAGTAGGAAGCGTTTTACATGGCAGCTACTTGACGACGACTCTTTGTATGTGTTCGCGTGTGTGTGTGCATGTGTTAGATTGAGGCTCTTGCCACGCATGAAAGCAAATATAACCGATACAAGGCACAGGCAGAGCTAGAGCCAGAGCCAAAGCTGGAGCTGGAGCTGGAGCTGGAGCTGGAGCCGCACAGCCCACAGCTGAAACGCTTCGTCTCACGCCAAGTGCCTGTGGGCAGCCTCACTCTGCGTCTTGGTCTTCGTCTTGGTCTCAGCTATCGGTGCATAAAGAAAGCAAAACAGCCACAAAAGACACAGACGCGCAGACAGACAGACAGACAGACAGACAGACCGACATATACCGACAAAATATAGGTAGGTACGTATATAGATAGATAAATGAAAGATATAGTACTTTTGCTAGCTACATATATACGTCAAACTGTCTGCAATTGAAAGTGCATTTGAGGGTAACAACAACAAACACAACAACAACGAATATGACAAAAAAAAAGCCAGAGACAAATGTCTGGAGACACAGAGCTTAAAATCAAAGTTGGCACAGGGCTTAACAAGCAACCGGAGCAGCCAGAGTGCTGATCTGAGCTGAGCTGACATTATCGGGCCCGTCCCGTCCCAGGTCCGGGCTGAGGCATGTGTGTGTGGGTTGTAGCTGTGATTTGAGCCAAGCCAAGTCGCGTTGAGTGAAGTGAGTACGCGCAAAAGGGTTTTTTGCTTGATTAAGGGCAAATATGTAACATGAAAATAAAAATAAAAACTGGAGCTCTACGTGGGCAGCTAAAGCAAAAAAGAAAACAACAAATAAATCAACAACAAAATAAAACAGCGCCTAGGCTAACAATAGACTTGGCAAACAAACATGAAAGAAACAGATTTGCCAAACAATTCTATACCATATTGACATTTGCCTCTATTGAAATAAATGCAAAGTCGAATTGTTGTGTGGCATGTTGCACTGACAAATATATGCTTTTAATTTTTTTTATTTTCGTTTGAATCATAATCCCACTTCTCAGTTTTCGTGCTCTTTCTTTCTTCAGCAAAGGTTCAGCAAATTAAATTGAAATCGAAAATTAGCGTTAAGCCAGCAAATGAACCGTTCGTATAGGTAAGGCAGAACCCACAGTAAAATGGTTTCTAATAAACCCACAATATCAAATTTCCTGTCAAACCCTGTCTCATAATAAACCAATATACACATATGTATATATACATACGTGTGTGTGTGTGTGTGTGTGTGGTCGTTCCCAGTAAGCAGTTCGGCACATAATTCACTGAGCAATTTGCAACAATAAACTAAACGACAGCTAACGGCGTTGACGCCAAGGAATGAGCCAAGCCCGCAGCCGCGGTCGGAGCAGAGGCCGCGCTCGATGATTGCCAAGGCAAAGGCAAAAGACGAGGAACGCAGATTGACAGCTTCAGCTACAGCTCCAGCTTCGCTTTTAACTTGGCAGAGCTCACTGGTTGGGCTGTTGCTCTTGTTGTTGTTTGCTGTTTGCTGTTTGTTATTGTTGTAGCGACGCGTCGCCAACATGGCCAAGGATCGGCAAGCTGCTGACTCGCGATATGGTCGATATGAGCAGCGGCGGTTGCCGTTGATTGAACGCGCATAAACCGCTTGAAAAGAGTTCAAGGTTGCTCGCTTTAATTGAAGTCGCATTGTTGTAACAACTACAACACCAGCAACCTGGCCAACACGACAACGATGATGATGATGATGACGACAACAACAGCAGCAACTGCAGCAGCAGCAACAACAACAGCAGCAGCAGCAGAAGCAGCAGCAACAGCAAGGAGCAACTGAGTAAACGAAGCGTTGACAGGCGTAGTCACAAAAATAGATACTCAGAGGGAGGTTCAGCAACTATGTGGGTTTGCTATAAAAAGAAAAAAGTCGCAAGAAAATATAATTTTTATACCAGTTCTACCAGAAGTAAAAATGCTAATTTTAATAATCAACTATAAATTAAGGCTAACATAAAAAAGAACATCCCGTTCCCTCCTTTCCCATTTGCCCTATTCAATGCTTGCCCTTAAATAAAAACCATTTTCAATCAAATAAAATCAGCAAATTTGATCAAAAATGTTGTTGATATTTTGTCTAGGTCTTGGCCCTAACTTGACTTAAGTACTTAATGAAACAGCCCATTATTTAGGTACTTCCGTCGCTGTTGCATGATGAAATCATTTTTGCTTTTTTCTGCTGCTGCTTGTTGTTTTTTCAATGATGTGTCGTCCTCGCCGTCGTCGTCAAGCACTTGAACTGACGATGGCCACTTGGTCAGTAAGGTAGAGATGAATGCATCTGCCGTGGCCTTTGTTCTATGCGACGACGCATTTTTTCGTAATTTTATTGAGTGACTTTATGCCAGGCGGCTACATACATAAAATCAATCATTCATGCCAACGGTGGAGCGACAACAATAACAATAACAACAATAACAGAAATAATAATAATAATAACAACAACAACAAAAACAAAAACAAAGCTAATTTACTGATTTGTGTTGTTGTCAACTTGGGTACCTACCTTGGAAGGTTAAGCACAGCTTGGAGAGCTGTGCGGAAGTTTTTGTCTTGTTCGCAAGTTTATCTATGGGATATATCGATACTTATAACTAAGTCGCCAGAGGAGGCCATTATGACATGCCGATTTAACTGTGCCTTTGACTTTGAGAGTTTAACACTTGACGGTCTGGTCAATTTTTCAATGATTTTTGTAGCACAGCAAAAAACTCAAACATGTATGGAAAGAAAGTTCTTTAATAATTAGCATATTTCGCAAACCTATTTAGAATCGAATCTTCTTAACCTAGAATAGAGCAAAGAAAATAATAAGCTTGTTGCCAAAAGTCTTTTGAAAGTATACAACGATTTCAACTGTTGGCTGCATTGTAAACAAAATCATTTTGTTATTTAGCATAGATTGAACTAGATTGTCATAATAAAGGGAAATATTATTAAAATTTACCTTTTACTTTGGATGCCATAGCTATACAGTCGAACTGTTCTTTCGAAAGAAAAACAAAAAACAAGCTATCTGGCAAATTCATTTTATGCTGCTTGCGAAAGATTTTTATGTTCGTGTAATACAATCGGCAGTATTAACAAACTTTATTGACCTTCGGCTGGCTTTCTTATAGTTG